CGGATCCGCTAGTACTACCTGCTGCTGTCTCGTGTATTGTGGTGGTAATAATATTCTTTCTTCTTCTTCTGCTAGAAGCTGGAGAGAAGCAGGAGATTACGGGGTTTAATGGGGTTCTGGTGCAAGAAGGTGTCGAGCATTTACGGTAGATGCTGAAGTCATCATCATCATCTTCTTCATGGACTTGATGGTCATTGTCATTGTGGTTGAGGAGCTGTGGAACGACGTCGCATTTGAAAGAGAGGTCGAAATCAGAGAGCATCACATGACCATCGCCTCTTATTAATACGTTCTCAGGCTTCAGGTCTCTGTACACAATCCCCATCATGTGGAGATACTCTAAGGCAACTAGTGTTTCTGCTGCGTAAAACCTGATATTATCCACCATTTGATTATTAGTTGTTTACGTTGCCAAAATATGCAAACCTATTAATATATATTTATCTTTATTATACCATGCATTATTTAGAGCATTTCCAACTTATTTTTATATTTACTTCTAAAATACTAGAGGGATTTTTTTTAAAGGGCTTACTAAAGGGAAATTTACTCCAAGACATTTGTATATTTTTCTTCTAAAATAGATTTTTTATAATATTTAAGAGAATAAATAGCATTCTTCTAATTTCTACTCTTTATTTAAAAGAATGTTATTGTGTAAAAGTATATTTGTATAAGTTTCATTCCTATTATAGAGTTACTTTATTAAAGAAGAAAATAGAGATTGATTTCACACAAAAAGATTGGTATATACTGTATTTTTAGTCGAAAAATCTAACACAAAAGGTGAAACATTTTTTTTTTTTTTGTAACTAAAAAAAACATTTTCTTTTTGAAAAGAATGAAAACATTTTCTTTTTGAAAAGAATGAAAACATTTTCTTTTTGAAAAGAATGAAAACATTTTTCTTGATAAACTAAACATAGTGCCATTTGATGGAAAACATTTACAACTAATAAATAACTTTTGTGTAAGACAAAATTTTTTTTTGTCGTTCACATCAAAAACGACACCCAAACCCAAAAGCAAAGAAAAAAAACAATTGAAACCTTTATTCGCGGTAAGCTCGTTTAAGATAGTGGAAGAAATAGTATTGTTTAAAGAAGGATACCTAGTGGAGGAAATACTGAAACGTTTAGATTGCTGGCGTAAGCGGGCAGTGTAAAGATCACCACCGGGACAATACTCCATGACGAGAAAAGAGTAATGAGAAGCCTCAAATGCTGCGTACAAAGTCGGGCAAAAAGGATGATCAAGCATCCCTAAAATCTTCTTCTCCATCTCCGCCCTTCCAAGCTTTTTCTTCACCGCCACTGCCTCCTTATCCACAACCTTCATGGCGTAAAACGCCACCTCCGGGCTTCCACGTATCTGACAGAGGTACACACTTCCAATGTCTCCACTACCTAACCTCTTCAAAAGCCGGAAATGCTCTAACCCTACTGCACGGCCGCAGCACCGGCGTAGCCTAGCCATAGCTTCCCATGCGACCTGGTTGGCTTTGTGAGGCTTTGATTGGTTGTAGGTGTTGAGGTCATGGTGGTTACTTAGATGTGATATGGAGCTACTACAACTAGGACTGGCCGTGAAAGAACTACTTAGCCAGCTCGTGCGGCGGCTGGAGTCTGGTCCGGCTGTTGAGGTTTCATAGTCGGACTCATTGTCTTTGTAAGACTTTGTGGAATTTGCCATTTGAAGGGTTTTGGGTTAGAAAACTGTCTTGTCTGTACTATTTATCTTATTCTCCACTTTAATCACTTTTTGTATTTTTTGTTTATGTATTTATTTTCCAGTCAATTTAATAAAAGAAAGTAGTAAAGATAACACCATGCGTGAAGATAACCGATATAGATCCGAAGTGCGGATATGAACATAAAGGAGAATTGATGAGATGCACATGTCAGGCATGCTTCGCCAAGCTGACACCACCACTATCCTTTGTTTTATGTAAAGTTATATGCTTGAACAATAAAATCCCTATGCCAGCTTTTACCTTTAGGTGTTAGAAGATAATCACTATTTTTTTTTTTGAACACATTTCGATAATCACTACATGGCCAAATTATAATGAATAACTTCAAAAGTTACAATTACGTGAGTGCCCAGTGACCACAGACTTATTTTTATTTTTATCATCATTTGCTTGTACGTGCGAAAGATAAATTTATTTGGTTAACAAACATGAACAGAAAGGCTGACAAACTTATGGAATTATATTGGCATATTTATCAGAATTCACACCCAAGTGCAATAAAGTATTTATAATTTGATTATATGAAATTTGAATTATAAAAGTTAGTGATACTACTAAACTAGGTCGTGCTTTGCAATTATGGATAAATAAATATTTTATTATAATTTTTTTGTAATAATTATTGAAGATTACTTGTAAATTTTCAAAACAATATTAGATCATGGACATGAAAACACATGAGAAAAACATCTTTTTTTTTATTTGTAAATGCTTAATCTTTTCAATTTATCTAAAATAATGGACTCTACACCCACATACATATATACAATATATATATATATATATATATATATTTTTTTTTTTTAAAAAAAATAAATTTCAATAGATATAACCTCTATTGGAGTTGCTCTAAATCGTAAGATGGTATTTTAATATGTACTTTTGGTTTAAACTATTATAATTTATTTATCTCAATGTGTGGTTTACATTGTCCTTGGCTATTACCGTGTACTAGATTGGTATTTTACCAATCAAAATATTGTTCGCGTATAAGCCAATGTCAGTGCATACATGCCACATTAACTGATGATAGGATCTTAATCTCTAGTCATCTGCTCCTTTTTTGCCGTATAACTATAAAATATTTGCCTACCTAAATGCTGATTCAAAATACCATGGCCTCTCATCACCAAAAAATTTCCCTCAACATTACCTAAATGTTGCGGCTCATTAGCATAAGCTACCATATCACTTGCCTTTTCAGTTGCAGTTCCAACTAATAATAAACACATGTAACATGTTGAGACCAGAATTACTTCACCAGCAACATCACTGTCAATATAAAACACACTTTTGACATCATCAACTTAATTTGATCTATATTTCTGAGATGGATAAGGAAAAACAAACCAAAGAGTACTCGAGCGAGACTGGTATTCTAACTGGAGAAATAACTCTAGATCGATGAGTAGCCAGCCACCTATTGTTAGCGATCATATCAATTTGCAAAGTCAATATCATTAACCACCCAAGATGAAGCTCTTATTAAACCTTTATTATACTTTGCAAACTGTTGCAGGATATTATGATATTAAGATATGTGATTATTTGATCAAATCGTGTCATTTATTCAGATCAATTCGAATGGTCAAAAATACCTTGATAACTGGGAGCAAATGGTTGGACTCCAAGAGTATATGGTCTACCTCCAGAGGATCATGAGACTCTATTTTAGCATGCCATGCTGGGACAGTACAATCTGTTTAATACTCTACATTCCCCAAAGGGATAATCACAGGTATATAATATTATCAGCAACCAGTTCTGAAAATAACAATTGTAAAGTGTCTATTTCACAACTTTAAAATCATTCACATTTCTATAAACGAACCGATGATACTATTTGTAACATCCTGATCCCATATTCTTTTGGTCAAAGCTCAATAAAAGTCTAGTACCTGATCTGTGAGTTTAAATTTAAGAAGATGATTCTAAAGACAATAATCTAGCTACCAAACATACATGTATTCTCACTTTTCTCAAATCTGTGCCACTCGATGATTTTACATAACCACACAATATTCAGTACCTCTACATGCTCATTACTTTTCATGTGCTTTCCATCTTTCGGCCGATTATCACGTCGCACCCTCGGACTTCTCAAAGGGGGTGACAAAACGGACAATACACATAAGAAGTAGAAAGAATTAGCATAAGATGTTACAAAAAAAAAAAGAATTAGCATAAGCAAGACAAATTACGTACAAGAATCTGGATATGGTCAGGATCGAGCAACCTCTGATTGCATTTGAGAGCTTTGTGAAGATGCCGCAAGGAAACATGTACATTTCCTCGACCTTCCTCCATTATAGCTACATTGATGTATATAGCAGCAGTGTTTCGATAAGATGGACAGCAAAGCAGTTTTACTTGATGGGCTGATTAGCTATCATCGATTAAATTAAACAATTTGACTACTTAAAGTATCAACTGGGTTTGAAATCTCTTACGTATATTTAACGTAAAGTTTGCTCTTCAACTCAGAAAAGTATTTTTTTTTTTTTTGAAACACACTCAGAAAAGTATATAATACAAAACTAAGCATACGAAAACATCAACATATGTGATAAAATGTAGCCTAAAGAAGATTGGAAACAACAAGTTGGTTAGTGGGTTAGAAGAGATGGCCAAGCAAAAACGTTACCAAAAGCCGTCAAGGCCCAAACAAGTTGAACCAGGTATCGGAAACGGTCACTGCATGTGTGACGTCTGGTAAAAGGCCACATGGAATGTATCGTTAAAGTACTGGCCGGTTCTTCAACTGTGGAAGTGTAGATCATTAAATTCGGAACTGAACCATGGGAAGCGCAGAGAAAAACAAACTTCGTACCCTTGGTACGATAATTCTCTCAAATTCTTACAAATTCTCCATCATAACTCGGATCTCTTTCTTTTCGTTCTACCATGATAACACAACATGGATGATTAGTAGTAGTTGATGGTTTCATAGTTGATTGTTGTTTACTTCTTTTCTTACTATGATTGAAATTTCAGCGACATTCAATAGATATGTAAACTTTACTTCACAACTTTTCATTACAGTATATATAAATTTTGCATCAGTCTATTCCTAAGTAATGTCAATATATATAAATAACAATGGAAGTTCGATTGAAAATTAAAATTTCCATGTTATGTGATTTATTTGTAAAAGGAAAACACTTAAATTTTGATATAAAAAGTTTCGTTTCAGATTAAAATCCCCAACCCAAATATAATGTAAGCTTTGAAAATACTTTAAGTCGTAGAGTTATAGTCAAATCAAATAAAGTGCAAAGTGGTGTGGATTGAACTTTGATTTAAACCTGTAAACACAATATTCAAATAAGATTAACACAAACCCCTAAAATATCTTGAATGCATTGACAAAAATAAGAAAAAAAATAGATGGGAGATGCCATCTTATAGAATTTGGTCCAAATGCCAGAATAGTCGTGTCCTTTTGCTTTACCGTGACCACCCAACAAAGACCTCACACACTAAATCTCATTTTTCTCTTCATCTTCTTTTAAGGAGAAAGTGAACAACACACACAAAAACTAAAGCAGCTTCTCAGTTACTAAGGCGTGACAGAACGTGGCGGCGTCCTTGACTCCCCTGGAGGAGTCTGACCCTCTGATCCTTTTGACGGGTCATCAGACGATTGTCTTAACCCGTCATCCGTAGTTTCACTTCTGTTCACATCCTCAATCATTCTCAGCACTTCTTGCATCACCGGTCGTTGATCAGGAACCGTAGAAACACACGCCATTGCGATTTGAAGAAGCTGAACCATCTCTTCCTCTATGTTGTGGTAACGCATCAGCTCAACATCGAAAACTTCAGCGGTCCATTCCTCTCTAACCACGGAAAGTACCCACCGAGGTAGATCAATTCCTTCTTCACCAAGTGATGCCTGGTTTGGTGATTTACCGGTCAACAGTTCAAGCAGTAACACCCCAAAACTGTAGACATCGGATTTGAAAGTTACTTTCCGAGTCTCGAGAACTTCGGGAGCGTGATAACCGGCCAAACGGTTTGGTGGACTAGAGTTGCTGAAGAGTTGGTTAAGTCCATAGTCAGAGACGCATGTGTCTTGGTTTGGGTGAAGGAGTATGTTTGAGGCTTTAATATTTCCATGCACCAATTTGGCTGAGACATGAAGATGAGCCAAACCTCTTGCCGCTGTTATTGCTATTCTCATACGGTTATCCCAATCTAACGGTGTTCGTCCCGAGCCACGGCTCCCTGAAACAACATAGATTAGCCAGATACTACTGCTAGTTAACTTCATTTTAATAATACAGTTGACAAGACGTAAAATGTTCAATATAGTATTTAGCTATCTTGACATTATAATTCAAATCTTAAATTGGGTTAGGGCTTCAATGCAGTTTCAACAAATGGGATCTAAAACTAATTCATTTAGACCATTGCTAACCCACCTCTATAATAGAAATCTCTATTATAGAAGTGGGTTGGAGAATGCTCTTAACTGAGTTAGACAAAAGTCTACTTAAAGAAAAAGAGTGAAGAAGAAGATATGATGATGATAAAGATCCCCATGTGGGAGAAAAGAGTCTTTTTCTTTTTCTTTAAAGAGTGAGAGACAAGCAAAAATTATGAATTATTATGACAATTACCAGACATACCCATATAATGTCGGCAGATCCCTTTTTTAATTTTAATAATTGCATAACAACTACTGCACTCGAAAATAAAATATGAAATTATTTATACAGTGAATATAAGAATGTTTTCTTGACAGCAAAGCATAAAACACAGACCGTGTCGAAAGTACTAAATAAAATAGCATCACAATCTAATCATCACTCATTATTCTCACTCAGCTTTCAATTAGCATCAATCAAACAGCTGCAACTACGTAAGCATATCTTAACCATGTCAATGTGAATATAAACTTGAATTAAGGTGAAAATAAAAGACAAAACTTAATCAACAATAACCCAGCAAAACCAAACCAACGAGATTCCTATACTACACACAATATAGCTATAATTCAGTAGAAAAAAATCACACAAGTTTGTAGAAATTCACACAATCTAGCTACACTAGAGTAGAAATTTACTTAAATGTATCTAGCTTCTGTTAACTAAAATGCATTAGGGATGTGACTTCATTAAACAGACTAATAGAATTTAGAGACAAACCGTGGAGAAGAGCAGACAAGCTTCCATTGGGCATAAAATCAAACACAAGAAGCTTCTCATCTTTGGAGTAATAATAAGCTCTCAACGGAACAACATTCGGGTGTTTAATTCTACCAACAACCTCCATCTGAGATTCAAACTCTTTCTTGGTGGCCGCCACGTCCTTCAACCTCTTCACAACCACCGTCGTACCTTCCTCCAACACCGCCTTATAAGACGTCCCTACACTTCCTTTCCCCAAAACTTCCGCAGAAGCTCTCAACAAATCCTCCAAATCGAAACTATACACTCCTCCTTCCGTGAACACAAGCTTATTCCGCTCCGTCTCTCCTCCCATTCCGGAGGACGTCCCCGTAACTTCCTTTGAAGACGAAGCTCCCGCTGTAGGTATTATCTCAGGGACGCTTGTCTCCGCTGGTTTTGTTCCACCACCCTCTTTGCTCCCTCTTCGTTTCCTCAAACAGAGGAACAAGAGGAGAGCTAAAAGGAGTAGCCCCGCTACTCCGCTCGCCACGGCGATCGCGACAATCGCCCCCGTGGAGAGCTTAGATTTTTTCTTGTCGGATACCGGAGTATCCGAGGACGGAGAAGGAGACGGAGAGACGAAGAAAGATTTGCAAGGCTTCAACGGCCCCCCGCATAGATTAACGTTTTCCGCGAACGATTCGGATGGGAAATGGGACAATGACAAAGGAATAGATCCGTTAAAGTTGTTACGGGAGACGTTGAAGTCAGTTAGACCGACGGTTATGCTCGGGAGGTTCCCAGAGAATCTGTTGTTGCCGAGGAAGAGACCAGTCAAGTGAGTGAGGTTGTTAACCGAGAAAGGAATCTGTCCAGTGAAGTTGTTGGAAGAGATATCGAGACGGACCAATCCGGTTAACTGTGTGAGACTTGGCGGGAACTCTCCTGAGAGTTCGTTATGCTGGAGGTATAGGCTCCTGAGGTGAGTGAGATTCGAAAAATCTCGAGGGATCTGACCGGAGAGACGGTTGGAGCGGAGACTGAGAACTCGGAGTTGAGATAGTTGGCCTAAGGATCCGGACGGGATCTGACCGACTAAACCGGTACCTGGTAAACGGAGAGAGTGGACGGAGGTGCGGTCGGGGTTGCATTCGACGCCGAACCAGTTGCAGGCTGAGTCTGACTCGTTCCATTGGAGACGATTCTCGTGGGGGATCTGGTGGAGGAAGGTGAGGAGTGCTTGTTTCTCTTGGAGTGACTCTGTGTTGACTCGATGAGTCAGCAGGAGAATGGAGATTAAACATGTTAAAACCAATGGAATGGCTGCCATTTTGGTTTTTTTTTTTTTGAACAGGTAGAGAATTTAAAAAAGTAAGGAGAAAAAAATGAATCGTTTGGAGTTTCTACTTATGTCTGTTTTACGAGGAAAGGGTTTCGTAGATGAATAGGGTTTGCTGAAAACCAGAAGTGGTTTTCGGGCAAGAACCCATTTTTTTCTGGTGGGAGTGAGATGAGAGAGATTGAGAGAGAGACAGAGAGAGAGATTGAAAGCGAAGGGAGAGAGTATGTATGTGTCTCTGTGTGTGGAGGTGTGGGGGTCGTGAAGTCTTTTATGAAAGAAACAGAGTCGCGTCAAAACTATCACGAGGGACTAGTGTTCAAAAAATTAGTAGACGGTGGTAATTAGCAGCTTTAATATATGGTTAGTATGATTTTTCAGTGATTATAGTCGTATTTTCTCTTTATTTAAATATGCCAGACCATGAAGTCCGTAAACATGAATGTTATTAGCCAATCCGAACAAATAATCTGAAAAACCAAAAATTGAAAAATCAAAAAACTGATATAAATGTCCAAACTAACTATTAGGGCTGGTACTTAATATCCGCTAATCGTTATCCAATCCGGGATCCGCTCCGATCCGCTCCAAAAAAAGGATATCCGGAGGGTCCGGATCCGGATAGTGATTTTACGGATCCGGCGAATCCGGATCCGAATCCGGCTAATCCGGATCCGAATCCGAATAGTGAAACATAAATATTTAATTTTATATTTATTTTTAATAATATCTAATCATAAGTATCAAATTTTAAATAAATACATTAAATATCCAATCAATGAGTATTTGTTTCTCTTTTGAATTTTGGATATATCCGAACCGAACCAATATAACTTGAATCCGAATGATATATGATTATTTTATAGGTTCTCGGATGTGATACAAAGAACCAAAATTGATGTGTTATATCCGAATCCGATCCATATTTACAAATTTACGAGAAAGAGACCTAAGATGTGATATAATTTAGAATCAAAGTACCAAATATCCAACCCGTGTCTCAACGGATATTTAATAACCAAACCTAACTTAAAGTGTGTTTTATGTCTTGCTCAATTATTTTTATATTTAATAAATATTTACATGTTTTATGGATTAACTAGTAAAATTATACATATAAAATATTGATAATGACATGCTTCATCATATCATTAAATATTAGTAATATCTAATTATTCATATATATATATATATATGTCTAATTTTAATATACTATAGAAAAGTTGTATTATTATGTATTTGATGACGGTTTTGAAGAATTTGTTTCTTGCATTTGGATTAAAGATAAAATTGTATATAAACAAATTAGTAGGCAGATATAATTTTCATATTAATAAAAAAAAATATAATTGATTACTTAACTAAAATTAGTGTTAATATAGATTTAATTTATTATTTTAAAAAATAATAAATTAGTTATTTAACTGTTTAATTTTAGGCTAAGATATATATATATATATTTAATAAATAATTAAGTTAGATATTGTAAAGTAATAAAAAGATATGAAAAGATATTATAATTTTATGTAAGACTTTATAAAATTCTAAAGATGGTCCAAACTAAAATATCACACATGAAGTGAGTCATGACTTCTCTTTTAATATAATAGATACAGAATTTAATTAAAACATAAATTAAAAATATTACAGAACTGTAAATATTTGTAAAATAAAAGGGCACCTCAAAAAATAGTTTCAGTTTTAATAGTATTGATGCTAGAAATCAACTACCAGATGCGTACAACAGTAATAATTAATCAAGTCTGGAAAAAATTACATGTTTTTATCACAAAATGTAGAAAATAATGACAAGCATTTAATTAAAAAAGTCACAAACATTTATATTAAAAAGTCTCAAACTGATGACAAAAAAAAGCTCAAACTCAACTCCGTAATAAACAATGGTAACTGCATATAAGACGAAACCTTTTGTTTTCATTTGCATTGAAATTTAACTTTTAATATTGATGAGTTGTTTGACATTCAAGCAAATTTTATTATTTCGGAGAGCAAACCACAAAACATGATTAACCTCTCCGATGACTGCTGGTTTCACCAGCTGATGAAGAGAAACTGCCTTCAGACATAACAGGCTCCGAATGCGATATGACATGTTGTTGTTGCTGCATCATACTCATGTGGTTCATGTCAATGAAAGATTCTGAAACTCCCCATACTTTTACCGATTTGTCCAGACTTCCACTATATACAATCCATTTTTGGTCTTTGCCTTCTTCTGACACTTCAAGATCTGCTTCAACCGCTAAACACTTTACAGGACCTGTGTGACCAGTTAGTACAGAGAGACATGTATGGATATTCCCATCTCTCTTCCACACACATATTGTCTTATCAGCAGATCCACTGAAGACAAGACTCCCTGCAACTTCAAGGCAAAGAACAGCAAGTTTGTGTCCCTTCAAAACACCACCGTAGTTCAACTGCTTCTCTCTCTCCCAAAAATTCACCAAACCATCACTCGAACCGAAGTAAACAGCAGTACCATTTTTATTTACAGCCAAAGCTGTCACAGCAGTTTCTTGCTTTGTTAATGTTTGCATGAGCGTGTGTTTTGTGTATTTGCCTTGTTGTTCACGCTTCCACGCTTTCACTGTTCCATCAGCTGATCCAGAGAACACAATCGCTTCCGTTGTTGACACCACAGAGTTAACAGCATCATCGTGAGCAGGGATCGATTCTAGACATTTCGAATCAGAAATCCTCCACACCTTAATGGTTCGATCCCAAGAAGCAGAATACAACAGCCCCTGTTCGTCGTTTAGGCTCAAACAAGAAACAGCATCCGCGTGTTTGATCCAAAGAGCGGTTCGGTTTTTCTTCACCTCAACGTAGTTTCTCGGTTTGAGAGAGGCCTTGAATATATCTTTTAAAGTGGGTAACGTTCCAGAGCGTTTGTGGGAGCTTTGATTCTTAGGAGATACTTTCCAAACGCGAATCTTACCGTCCTGGTGACCTGTGAAAATCTTTTCCCCTGAAATCACAATGGTTTTTACCAACCCACTGTTGCATTTGAATGCACTAAACTCCTTTAGATTCTTCCACACACGTATGTTCTTACTATCAGAACCAGTGTAAAGAAGATCCTTTGTGGCCGCTAAGGAATAAATGTGGCCTTCTTCACGGACAAGCGAGCCAATAAGGCCATTCTGAGGTAGATTTTCATCAGCGTTAGACCACTGGGTTTGAGTAAATGGAGATGCTTGGTTCCAGGGAGACATCATCACTGGAGAACCTTCACAGCTCATTCTATTGTCATACATGCCTGCGCCAACCGCAGATGCACTGCTATTGCGTAGGCCATACTCGTCCTCTGTGGTCATTGTGGAGGAGAGATTCGGATCAGAAGGTATATTGTTATATTTTGCTCTAGGAATAGTATCCGCCTCGTTGAACATTTTGAATATGTTACTAACTTCTGGGCCTCTCGGAGATTAACAACTTGAAATTAATTAAAATTTGTGGGGAGAGGAGAAAAACAGGGTAATTAGATTTGAGATTTGAAGGGGTTTAGTTTTTGGCTTAACAAATATAGCCGCTAAATTTATTGGTTAAATCTTACAGTTATTGTTGTTATAATTCATGGCTAAGCGTAGTTTCCGTCAACTTAAAATCTAATTCAGGAAGACTCTTGTTGCGTCATCTTTATATTTTGCTCATTCTTCTAACTCAAAGCAGTACTTTACTATTTGTTTCTTCCCCTAAAATAGACTTGTAGATTTAGAGGGAGCAGAAAAAAATTTCTGTCAGAATAAATGCCAGCAGAAGTAGAATGGAAAATCAAATAATCAAAATAGAAAAAAATATAGAACTTTTTTTTTGACAAAAATATAACACTTTAAATTATCAAACCTGTGAGTATTTAAAACCTGAAGCCGTTTCTTTTATCAAGTCAATTCTAGGGAAATTAGGAGCTACACCAACCGATTTCTCGGTATTTAGGGGTATACCAAACGGACACTGTGCGATACCCAAGCACTTTCTCATAGAACATAAATACCCCTATAGTCCGACAACTGTAATACATGCATATCTTATAGACAGATTTGAGAATCTTCTTCTGTCATATGTAGCCATTCAAATAGGATATTAGCCAGCTAATCGGAAGTTCTAGATGTACAACCTCGGTTGACAATGTTTTGGATTTGAGCAGTGCAACCGAGGTAGCCAGCTAAACATATATATGACAATGTTCTGAATATAATCAAAATATGATTAAAAAACGATTTCGAAATACTTTTTTCGAATTTGAAACATACAGAATTCAAATATTTACCCATGGGTTCACTGATCCATAGTGGAGAGTTTTTGTTTAGATTTGATCGATTGGGAAGGATTTATTTGAGATTTTCATTAAATGGTTAAAGGTATAAAGATTGTCTTTTTGTTTACCAATTAAATTCTCTAAAATCTCAATAATATCTTCAGAAAATCTATATAAAATCCTAGTAATTAAAACCCTACATACCTACACCGGCTGAACTCGATTTTGCAAGCGAAAAGGGCATAGCCGTCGTTAACCAAACTCCAGTTTACACAACTTTGTCGACAGCATACTGTTTATGGCAAATACTTAATTATCACATCTTTCATGGTTTTACACCCAATTTACTCTTAATTCTATCTCTCCCGTGTTTGAAATCGTTTTATTTTCTGCTTCTTTTGTGGACTTTGGTAACATTCCACACAATTATTCAACTTTTCAACAGTTTTCCACGACTTATTTAACATATTCTTTTTGAAAAGATTTTTTTTAACCTGGTTTAAGGATCGAACCTGAAACGTGTTAGCGTCTCAAGCCCATCGACTACCATCCGACCACAAAGGCAGTTTTAGTTATTTAACATATTAAACAATCCTCTTTCCGTCTTAAAATGTTTCATACTTTTACAAAAAAACTATTTTACAACGATATAACATTTACAAATGTATTTTGATTTTAATTAGATAGAAATTAGGAAAATAATTAATTATACAGATATTATATTTCTAATTAAAATTTAGAATATATTTTTAATATTCATAAAAATTTTAAAACATAATATTTGGAAATTTTTATCAACCAGTTTACTTGCCCACTTTCCATAACTCTGCTTCGTAAGAATTACGTGTTGATTTAGTTAGAAAATAATCATATCATTTAACTAACATTCTCTCTATTTCACTTTAATTGTCGTTTTAGGTTTTTGCAAACAGATTAAAAAATATTTAATTTTACATCGTTTCGAGATAAAAACACAATTATTTATACACCTAATAATTTATCAACAAATAGAAAAATAGAATATCAGATAAAGTTAATAAATTTTACATTGAAATTATAAAACGACACTTATTTTAAAACACAAATTTTACACTACAAC